TCAAATCAAGTTACTTTACGCGTAAGCTCTGCCGTTATACGCTTCGTTGCCTGCAGATGCTCACGTTATGTTGTGTGATATAAATTATACCGCACGTGTAACCATGTACGTGCAGTGTAGCGGTAAATGCAGGGTATAATGAAAGAATCAATCAGCATCGTGAAAAAGGGGCGGTAAAATGCTTAGGTAGCAACTTTGCTTTCTGATCAATCCAAACGTACTATTATATGAGAGATTAAAATCAAATGTATAAAGTACCAATAAGGTGAATGAGAGTGTAGCGTGGTTCACAGCACGCAAATTAATAAAGTAAAAATGATTTTTCTCTTTTATTCTGTAGTTAGCGATGTTGAACAGACATATTATACATTTCGACTCTCTGTGGAGTCTTCTTTAGCAAAAATAAATTAGACATGCGTGTTTATTCTCGGTGTGTCAGGATTGAGTTATCAACAAATTGACAGATTTGAAGTGGATAAATTTGTTAATAATGATATTTCAGTAATCTCAATGAAGACTAGATAGACGAAACAAAAAAAGAACAAAATGGTAACTCACCCCAATAAACGAAAAAAAAGAAGCTATCTTGAAACTATACTTTCTGAGGTAGTGGAACCTTCGACAAGAGGAACAACTGTTGAGAGCAAGAGTTGAATTGGAAACAAATGAAAATTTATAATTTTCTGCTTGATCGAGCGAAATATTGTACTGTGTGGTGAAATAACGTAGCAATACGTATTTCGATTTTAATCGCCTCCCCCTTCGAATTGAATCTCAACATAAATCTGTGTAATTGATTACTCGGCATTTCTGGAATATATATTTCTTAAAATTACAGGCTTCTTTATAATAATAAAAACAACTTTAATGCGTATTTACTACAAGATAATTGCAAAGAATATGAAGAAAATTAAAACAGATATACACGTAAACGATAAGACACCGATACAGCTGCCGTGGAAGAAAACATGACAATTTAGTGTCGCAAGGTAGACAGAACGTAGATTAAAAGGAAAAAAAATATCTTAAATAAACTGATTGTATAATGTATGTACAGGATCTTTCATTAAGAGGTTTCATTTTAAATTCGTCACATTTTGTACTTTTTTTATTATGGCTGGAGTTGTCATATTCGACAGTTGTCGAGTAAAAACTATGCAGTTAATAATAATGGATCGATATTTGCTTGGGCAACGGATTTTTTCTTTTGGAGTTATGTGAAGGATAAGATTTATACAAATGCTCCACATATACAAACGATTCAGTCGCTTAAAGACAATATTCGAACTGTTGGCGAAATTGGGCCGCAATTGTGCGAAAACGTGATAAAAAATTTCCTCAAAAGAATGACCATTTATAAGGAAAGTTTATGTTTAATTGCACAATCTGTACTTTGGATTAGAATAAATATATCTTAATGGAAGACTCTGTAAAACAAAACTAAAAAGATGTAAGATTCAATTAGTTTCTAAATAATATGATTCAACAAAACGACCAAGCGAAATAAAGAGAGGAGACAGATTTTAGGTTGAAAGGCAATTAGTTTAATTAAATAGTTATTTGTGGGTAGTGTGGGTGGTGTGTGGAATGGATTATAATATAAGAATATTATATATGTAGAAAAAATATCTTGTTATTAGATATGTTTTATTATCTTTTTTCCTTTTTAAATCTGTTTTTTTTTTAATTTTTTATTTTTGTGAACTAAATTTAATTACATTATTTTTAAAAAAATTCGATTGATACAATTGTTTGTTTAAGCTAATCTTTTTTGGCCAATTAACTTTTATGAACATGATGATATGATCAGCAGATTCAGATACTTAATGATTCAGAATTAGAAATATCTCGAGGTAATTTTCCTTTTTTGCGTAAGGATAAATTACATGTGATTTAAATAATGTTTTTTTACTACCGAAAGAAGTATCTTTTTGTATCGACCATATGTTTAAAAATAATTTTGTACAATGTAAACATCATAAAAATAATTTAAATTCTTATCAGTATCAATACTGGATAAATAAATTTAATTTGATATTAAATTAATACTAAATTATAAATTCGGTTGGTCACTACCTTGAACTGTCATTAAATTTTTATGAGCTCTAATAAAACCTCAGATAAAACTTACGGTCACTTATATTAGGACATGTAAATCCGATTTGCATTTGTGACGATATCGTATAAAATATCGCACAAAAGTATGAATGTAAAAATATTGCAATTAACTTGACTATGATTTAAAGCATTTCTGATGAGATGATATCTGATGAGACATAAATATTCGTAAAACCAAAGTTCAAGGTAACGTTACTCTTAAAATTGCATTTGCAAAGATGTCACATGTATAGTCTATAACAAAGTGTATAGATATAGCGTTAACACACTTTAGCGAAAATATTTGCTAACATTTTTATACAAAATTAAAAAATAAAACGAAGTATGTCCTATCTGTACGTCAACTTTTTTATACTTTATATCTTTGTGTACAGACTATTTTACATCTCATTATTTGCATACTTTTTGTAAGACTTACAAAGTTTACTATTTGAGAGAAATCGCGCATTGTCATGATGTAAGTAAGTAATACGTATTCTTTATTACGATACTTGACCCGAAATACATTAACAATGTAAATTATGATTCTCTATTTCATTTTCATCAAGGTTCTTGTTTGTTCGTCAGTCAGCGTTTGTATTGAAATGACTTTTATTCTGGCGACCTTTAAAATTATAATTAAACGTGGCAAACTTTCTGGTTTTTTAAATTATAACATTGATCAAGAACTTTATGAATAATTTTATTTTTTGAAAAAGGAAAATATTCGAATAAATTTAACATCGATCTCTCTCAGCAAATTCATAGAATATAACACAAAATTTAAAAAAATTAAAAATTTTCAAATATCTGTTTATTTGCAGGCAGAATGATTTTTTAATATTATTACCTATTATAATTTAAACTTACGACAGAAAATTTTAAGTTGATATTCTTTAAGAAATTACTTTTTTAAAAATGTAATATTGACTACGTTTACACTGAGAGATCTGTTTTATGCGGCTTGACATATATTTTAATCGGTCGGGTCACCAAAAAACCATAGAGAAAACGATGAGTTATCTTCGTAATAATTCTTGTCAACGTTTAATTGATAATTAAAATGTTGCAAATAATGAGCCGCTGATGTTTTTATATGAATCGCTGAAATGAGATGCTGTTTGATATAGAGCGTAACACTTTTGCATAGCAAATTGAAAGTTGTGCTGTACTTTGTACTGCAGTTTATCATTCTCCAATTAATTAGCAGACTCCGATTTGTAATTGCAGTTTGATATGCGTAATATTTGCTACGTAATATATTTCTCAATTGGACATCGTTCTCACGATTATCGAAAGTTAATCGTATTATCGAAAACATTAATATAAAGAATTAAAATAACTGTGACATTTTGTCATTAAGAATTATATAAATAATCAACGCAAAAATTCATACAAGTATAAATTGCGAAATATAATGTCAAATTCTTACAGTTCACAGAAAATTTTACAACAAGATGATACGTAACAATTTTGGCATATAAAATAAAAAATACTACATGCTGATGAAAATGTTGCTGTGGTAGAGTATAAATTGTAAGATACTATTCTTTTTTATTAGAACAAATTGTCTGTTTGGTGTATATAGAAGAGAATTTACACCGTTAAGTGTAATCTGGAAACCACGCATCAGCATTTCATACGATTAATGTGCTTTTATTGGCAATAAATGCTTTTTTTTTTAAATGCATCAAAGGATAGCAATTGATTTTAATCAAACGTTTGTTATGTGGTATACATCGTGATATGAAATATTTTTACGTAAAACACACGCGCTTTACAATGTGTCGATCTTTAGATTGTATAATGAACCGTCATCTTGTATTTATCTTTTTTTTAATCGACATTGTAAGAATAATTAAGTAAATTCCCGGATTCGTAGAAAAAGATTATATTGCGAAATTATCTATTTCACAGCATGTGTAAAGAAAATATTCTGACTAAATAACATGAAACTTTTTTAATTAATTATAAAAATCGTATAGTAATCTTAGGATGTGTGATTAATTACTGAAAATTTCCAAGAAAAATATATTAAATATCATTACAACGTTATCTATTCCACTTGTGAAATGTTTCCGGCTTAAAGTATATAAAATAATTTGAGATATTAACTGTACAGTCTATTCGATAAAAGTGCAGTGATCGATATAACTTTTAAATTATTTATTGTATGAAAAATGGAAATATTGTTATACATGCATTTTTTTATTAAGTCATCCAGTTATCATTGTTAGTCGTCGTGGACATTTTTAAGGCATATTTTTTGCCAATTGCTTTCATTTTAAGAGACACAGTCGTTCTATCCTTGACATTTAATGAATGATAAAAATAGAACGACTTTTGTGTTAACTATGTTTATCTCCTAAAAGGAGAGCAGCTCTGTGTTTGTTTAAAACGTTCGTTTAAAACGACCGAGCAATTTTTATTTGAGAATCAAAAATTTTTGAATAAGCAGGTAGAAAGATTCTTTTTTCGACTTGAGCGAGTTTGCATCGATTTGGATTGGATAATGTTTTTTATTAATAATAAGTATGGATTGACGTTACATGTTTTACTAATAGAAGAGCATACGTCATTAATTCAATCCAGATAGGTGTAAACTCGCTCGGGCCGAATACGCTATCAATTATTATCTCGTTTTACTATAGCGAACGATACTTTTAACAATGAGTCACGCATATGTTAAAAGATTTAAAGTTATTTTTTACTTGTACATACATATTCGAAAATGCAAGAAATGATTGCAAAAATTTAAATAAACAAGTGGAAAAAGCGATGTAAAATAACAAATATTGTTGATAATTAGTCGAATTGCGATAAGGCACGAAAGTATCGCAAATTATGTCGGTTATGCTTCAATCAAATGAATTGCATAACAGTCTTAAAAAATAATTGATTACCTTGTCGAGGAATTGGTACTGAATATGTCACGTCATTAAACTCGATGTCCACTGCAGCCATTTTTGAAAGATATTGCATACATGTAACGTCATTGCTATTGTTGAAGGCATCTTTCTTGCAAACACCGTTATCGACTTCATTTACTTTACTTTCTGGAGTAAGGTCCATGATGATCTTCCCACACTGGAATTCTCGAAAACGATTTATCTTCAGCTAGCGGTTGTCATTACGCGGGACTTTTTTCCGCGGTGCAACGCAGTCGTTTGACATCAGCGGAGAAACGCGATGCAGGAAGAAATGATTTCGACTGAAACTGAACTAAACGCACAGAAGAATGAGTGGCTCAAAGAAGGAAGAAAAAAGCAGAATAATAAAATCTCACGCGCTTGAAAACACAGTCATCAACCTATGATTGATCCGATTTATAGTCCGATCTCAAGACTGGTCTTCTTTAAAATTGATCACGCTAATCGACAAAACATTACGAGTGAACAATTCGAATTATTTATTTTACTTTAACTGTGAATTTGAGCAGAATTTGAGAGTTTGTTACAAAGCAGTTGAAATTAGTGTGCAAAAAATAGAAAATTCAAAGTAGACAAAGAAACTAGCGCAAAACTTGTCGCATTTTATATTCTTTATGTTACAAAGTTAGTAAACAATTAAATTAATAAGGGATAAAAAATAAGAAACAAAATAGTGTATGAATAAATAAAAAATAAAGTAGGTGTATGATGTATTAGGAAGACGAACTTTGTTTTAACATTTTTATGTTTTATCTTTGTACTTTATACTCTTTTCACACAACTTTGATATTCTTGTCATTGTGCTGATTATGCTAACACAGTACGTGACAATTAAAAAAAAGCATGGCAATACAAATGAAATCTAGATCGTTATTTAAAAGCAAAAAAAAAAGAATGACGCTAAAATTTAAATATAAAATATATGTATAAATATAAAAATTGTGGCTTTTAATTGAAACGAAGAATTTGAAAAATTTTCTTTTGTTTAAAAATAGAAAGTAGGCTAATATGCCGATTAGCTTCAGTGGGAATCTTTAAATACAAAATTTTAAGTCTAGCAATGATAAGACTGGCAAGGTGACCTCTACTTGACCATTGAAATGAATGTGCAGTGTCTCATGATTGTAAATGACTAATAAGATTAGATTATGAATTACGTCCTACGTTACATCGATAGTGCAGTTAACTCTTGATAAGCGTTTTATACTAATTGATTATATTTTTAGATTTTGGAAAATTATCTTATCTCAGCGAAGAGACAGAAAATTTTTAATAGTGGCAAAATAAATTGATCTCAGCTATTGTGCAGAAGAAGATGATACTCATGAATATTTTGATACGCTCTTCTTTTGACAAATAAAAGGGATCGCTGAGAATTCTGCGTTTTCTTCATATTAATGAATTATAATAGCAAAAAAAATATGCGTGTTATATTCAGGATGCCGGAAGTTTCCTCCCTAATAAATAGACATACCGTTCTTTCTTTCGTATATTTTTCAGTTTTTTTACATTTGACAACTATTACCTTGACTCGTGACACGTGTAAACCATTATGTCTAGGACGTAATAAACAAGGTGAACGACAATCACCCCGGAACTTTACACGCATGCGCTGTTACGAAAATACAGCTCATTGAACTTCAGCCGCGCGAGTGTTCGATCGAGCGGTCGGTGAATTACAGCTAATAATAAATACACATAATATATTATGTGTTTGCGTTAGATGACGGTAGGATGTATCGCTAGATTTAGAAATAGAGGTCAAGAAGCGCCAATAATTAGTTTTTTAGAGACTTCTGACGCGTTTAAGAAACATTAATTCTTTCCATTCCTTACATACTTACATATGTAAAATCAATTTATTATTATGTGAAACCTGATACATAAATAAATTGGAAATATATAATAGTTTCGTTGCATATACGTTGTGTACAATTACGATATTGTGTGCCTAACAAAATTAAGTTTTTATAAAAGTATCGATCCTTATCGTCTTGTTTTCATTCTTCATTTCGGATGGGAGAATTAGCTCGACGGGAGTACAATACAATCGTGCGATTTTACGAGCCGCGTCAGACTTAAGCTTTCCACAGTTTATTCACTGCTAACCGAACTACCAGTTTCAGTCACGCATTGCGATTGAAGGGTTTGAGTTATTTATTATACAATTCGCCACGTGAGAGACGAGGCGAGGGCAACGATATTTCCTCGTGTCAAGCTAGTAATTCTGTCGGCTGCAGCAACTGTGCTTCCTCTTGTTCTACCGGTGGACATTGTATGGTTTCAGAAAAGCTTATCTCTGATATCGTATTCATGTACACGAAATCAACGGTGTCGGAAAGATTAGAACTGTTTGTATTATATACGCGTTTCCGGTGTGCATCACTTTCGTGGAATTCTGCGCGTTTCAAATCCTCGCATTAATCAGAGCCATAATTTTTGTATTTATGTGTTTTAAATTTGAATTATTCATACCATTCTATTTGATTTGAAAAACACTAAATGTCACACTCGTATTGTCACGTCTTTTTTTAACCACTTTAGTCAGCATTACGTATGTAATCAGCATAACGATAATAGAAACTGTAAAAAAGTAACTTATATATGAGATAGAAATATTATTGTAGTATAAAGTTATCTTTTTAATATATTCTCCAACGTACATTTTGTTTTTTATTTATTACTATATTTTTGATGTTTATTAATTTATTTGTTATTAATTTTAAAATGATAATGAATTTTGTAATATTCATCTCATAGATTTTATAAGGAATCAAAGTTTTCTGTTAATTATATCGTTGGCTCTTTGCTCTTATTTTATTTATATCGTTTTATATTCACAGAGCCTTATATTAATTTGTATTTTTATTTGTTATCTTTTTGATGTTTATTTTCTGTTGCGTAAAAAGTTTTAAATGCGATAAGTTTTGCGCTGGATTCTTCTCAGCGAATTTTTTTTATTTTTCTATTTTTTTGCACATTAATTCCAACTGTTTATGTAATCATTCCGATTTTTATCTTTGCTCTAAATTTTGCTCGAATTCACACGAAGTTAAATAAAAAATAAAGTTATTCACTCGCAATATCCAAAACGTAATTTTTCAACATCTGCGAACTTTGATATTATCTTTGATATATTACTGCAGGTCACTCAACATTTGAAACAAAATTATTTTTGAATTAAACAAGTTTGCATAAAACTATTTCCAAAGTATGTGAAAAATTCTGCACATCGTCGGTCATCGATTGAATGCTCGAATTTGTTTACTCCGATTTTTCGCGCGTTCCAGCGTTCCCATTGCTGCCGGGAATACGATAGTATTGATGATTCGCGGATAACTCACGTTGTCGGCTGCGGTTCGTCAATTAACACAATCACACTACTATGTGATAGATAGAGGAACTGCAAACGATAGAACGTCGTAGAACTCAGCGTACCGCCACCAGTAACGACGGTAGACTGACTCGGAAATAACGTTGACTTGCGATCCGCACCAGCTATATCTCTCCCTGTTGGTGTATATGTACGGCAAGAGCCTCGCAACGGACGCTCCTTGTTACGCCGCAGAGACAGCTGCATGTAGTGTGGTGGGTGTCATGACCAGTCGCAGCTTGCGCGACCGAAATATGAGACGAGACCTCAACGAACGAGGCGTCAATAGTTGATCGTGTTCTAACGAGTCGAAATAAAGGCGAAGCTTTAGCACGGACGAAATGGCTTCCAGATTCTATTGCTTTGACACCATTGCGCGAATATCGATTTCCTCCGCTGCCAACTTCCTGCAACTTTTCGCCTCTTCTACAAAATGCAGACAGGTCGTTGGAATAGTTTTCGGATAAAATCAAATTTTTACGATGAAACTTATCCCCACGTTTAATGGTTTTACTCGGTTCTAATCTTTAATTTGAATAAAGAATTAAACAGAGCACAGATAGAGCGTATTGCGCATGCGATGATTGTTGGGTGTAACAATGAAAAGAGTGTAACGATGAGAGGAGAAAAACAGGAAATTCATGTATTTCACTTGTGATTCGACATCCATTCGAACAATTTGTTTAGTTTATATACAGTTTATCCAAATCTGACAAACAGGTAGGCTTTACTGTACCACTGAATCAGAAACTTAATTACTAATAAATAAATTTTTTGTAAGTAGATTTGTAAGTTGTTGTCTGATTCAGTAATACAATAAAGTCTGTTTGTTAGATTCAAATAAAATGTCATATGTAAAATAGGTAAATCGTTCGAATGGTTATTAAAAGTCACAAGTGCGAGACACATTTCCCTTTTTCTCCTCTCATTTTTGTTATTCTAATAGTCATTGCATGCGCGATATTGGTATAAAAAAATTAAAGATTAATGGATCAATTCTGAGTAAAATCATAAAGTTCATAACATAATCTTGTAAGACTTGTAAGAACTTATATACAAGCACTTCTAATTTTATGCATTATCTTACATATAGTTTCTTGCTAGCTGTAGAATTTACCAGAAATCGTAGATATTTATGAATGATCGTATTTCTTATGATATATATACGCATGAAATTATAACATCAGTTATAAGTTTTTAGAAGTTTTATAAATAGAAATTACCAGCCTTACGAATCTGTTTAAAATTGACCCATATACATATATATATCCATAGCTGATTAAAACCATCAGAGGTGGGAACAAATCACCGTGAAAATTTAAGTTTAGCTGCAATTCTTTTTATTTTATGCGTGAGCATATATTGATACTGTTCTCATTACGACAGAATTAATCACTACACGCATGTATTTAAGATAATTATAAAATATGCTACGCATTTCCATATGTTGTCATAAAACTTTTGAATGGAATATAACCTTATTTAAAAAGTTGCCTTGACCTTTTTTTTTGTATTTGCATAAATTATCGATGGAAATTTGTTATTAAATAACTGATTCACTCTTCATCGACGAACTCTTATACAAATAAAACATGACTCGTATTACTAAAGAGTTGCTTAGTTTCATTTCTAGGTAATTTTACAAAATTATGTCAAGAAACTTTGTTTTGTTTCTTCCACAAAGATCCAATTATTATTATTATTATTATTATTATTATTATTGTTATGCTCCTTTTGTTTTGTACTGTTTATTATTATTAATCAAAAACAGAAGACGATGCTTACTCTCATCGCTTCTGAATCAAATGTATTTTTAAAGTTTATCTGATTAATTTACTTATGAACC